TGCAGGAGACAGATTAACTGCAGTAGACTGACAAAATTGATCTGACAAAATTTCAAGGCAGTCTGATGTTCAGATTGTGGCATAGGAACTGCTAGTTTCTTCTAGCCATATCTATAGTGAGAAGCAGAAAAAAAGCAGAGCTAAAAAGTTTTCAGTATCACCAGAAAAGAAGCACCTTCAAATTTGGGGCAAAGGAAAGGATGGTTGCTGAAAAGACTAGCATTTTAAAAACCCAAGTACTCTGTATAAGTACAAAAAGAAAGATGCCTTGAAGGGCATCTCAGGAATCAGCAAGACTCCAACCATAACAGGTTCAAAAGTGGAAAATTTTAAATCTTTCATTTGAGAAGAGAGTGCCTAGGATGCCTGCTCATTCAGGGTCACTGAGGAAAGTGTATCAGAGTTCAGCCATCCAGGCACTCAGAGACCGCTACAGTCATAGTTGAAAGGGGTCCAGCTACTGCTCAAGCTGGAAGCCCACCTTGCCCTCAGCCATGTGATGCTGGTCTTTCAGGCATGCAGAATGCAAGAGTTATGGGGTGAGGGAAGCTTACACCCAGATTTGAGAAGATGGCCTGGGAGGCCAGGCAAAAATACATGACAGGGTTACAGTCCCTACCAGATACTCCTGAGAGGGTGATGCATGAAGCTGTGAGAGTGAAGCCAGAAATGCAGTAGAGACTCTAAGAAGTTACAGATGCCAGGAATGTGCATCATCTGCTGAGGAAACCCACAGGCAGCAAGCAGAGCCAGCCCAAGAGAAAGGCCATATGGGCTACAAAGAGCAATGCTGTAGGGGTTGGGCTGCCCAAGCCCTTGGAAGCTCACATTTCATCACAACCTACTGTGGGTGTTGGACATACAGCTACAGGATTTAATGTTTGACTTGCTTGTTTTAAATCTTCTTTTGGTTGATTTCTGTTTCTCTATTCATCTCTTTTGGAATGGCAATTTCTTTTTATTTTTACAGAGGCTCACAGTCAGGAGTTTGCCTTTAGTCTCAGAAGAATCTTTGGACTTGGACTATTCTGAAATGCTGGAACTGATAAGACTTTGGCAACTCTTAGAAACTGACTAGATACATTTTGCATAATGAGATGGACATGAGCTTCTTGCAGGTCAGGAATTGAATATTATGGCTTAGATTTATTTTTTCCACACCCCCCCCCCACTTAGATTTAAAATGTTCCCCAAAAGTCTCACATTTGGAGGTGTCACCTGGTCAGAATAGGCGTGTCACAGGGGCATGACTTGGGAGGATGTATTCTTACCCCAGGGTCCTTTCTTTTCTGCTTCCTGGCCACCATTCAGTGAACAGCTTTCCTCTGCCATGCTATTCCTGCCTTGGAGCCAGCCAACCATGGATGGAACCCACTTAAACTGTGAGCCAAAATAAACTTCCTCACTTCTAAGTTGTGTTTGTTGGGAATTTTGTCTCAACAAAAACTGGCAGAAAGCAGTTAAGACTGAGATTCTATTATTCAGTACAGTGGGTAGTCTAAGTTGGAAGAATCCCCTAGGGGATTTCTTAACACAAAAAGCAAACTTAAAAAAAGATAACAGATCCTCCACCCTCACTCTCTAATTTAGTTTCACTTCCTAAAATGACCTTCATGCAAAACAGGTTGCTCATCACTTAGGTCAAAGGACATAACATTGAGGTCTTGATAAGCTAGAGCCTTGGGATGCCTAGAAGAGTGTCTTAGATTATTTGCCAAGGCATATTTCATGTGATTTCCAATTCTCCTTGACCAAGTACATAATAACAGTGTATAGCCACTCATTTGTCATTAGATAACAAGAAGAAAATGAAAAATAAGAACTCCCTTTACTTTTCTTAAGGCGTTTAAGAAATACCACAAAGGTACCAATGGATATTATTATTTTGCTTACATCCCTTTACTCCATCCAACGCTTTCATTCAAATGGCCACTGTGGACCTGCTCAGGGTCACACGTCTTTGCTCCCAAACATTCCAAGAGGAACACGATAGTCTGTATCTTCAGAAGGCCCACCATCTGATGGAGAAAGAGACGTTTCTGACAATACGTGTGTTATCCCTGGTAAAGGTCAGGCTGGTATTCATTCATTAGGATATATTCCATCATGTCGTGTGTACACTAGAGAAAGGGAACCCAAGGGGCCGAGACTTGGGGGCCCTGAGCTGGACCATTATAATGCTCGGCATCCCTTCTCTGTCCATCCGTACTGAGTGTAAAATGCACTGTGCTGTCCATCACCTATTACAGTCCGGGCTTGACTCCAATAAAGTCCCTATTCTTCCATGTGTAATAGGCCCCTCTGTGCCTATTTGAAGACAAAATGTCTTGAAGGCACATAAAAACACAGCCAGCATAAAATTAATTCAACAGTGGAAAATTTTTAGTCCAATTTAAGGAAAAAAACTTGAAAAAACAAATGTAGAGTTTAGGTATTTCATGGAAAGAAGGAGCGAGCTATTTCATGGAAAAGGAGAGAGAAAATCGAGGAGTACTGTGCCTCGAAACACTCATGGGTGAACTGTGTTTGAGCACCCACGATCTGGCAGGAGTGATGAATCTGAACCTATGAAAGATCATAAATTCACATTAATTCTCTGTGTTTGGGTCTTTTCCTGAAGAAATTCTACTCTTTTCTGTTCTTCTAATAAGTTTCCAGGTTAGAACGCAGACTCCTCAGTGTAAGCCCCCAAGGGTCTTTTTCAGAGAACACTTCACAATTTTCATAAATTCAATTTTTATAGATTATGAAGCATTCTCCAAAGTATTACTTTCCAGGCCCAGATCACTTTATTTAATAGATGTGATCTTCCTATAAGCCCCCCACAAAGATCAATTTTGTTATTTTACACTTATTCTTGCACACTTAAAAATAGGCGGCAGGCCAAAGGCCAAAGAACCAAAGATTGTTCTCAACAGGAAGTAACAAATTAGTTACATTTCTATTTGTCCTTCTGCAGTAAAGGCTACTCACATTAGCATTTATTAGTTTCACACTAATATGAAATTCACAGATTGTGTGGAAATACTAAAAACATTTTCATTTTACTTTATCCACCAGTAACTTAAACTGAAGCAAGACACAATTAAAACAAATAACCTCGACAATGGAAATGTTAAGAAAACCACAATTCATTCACCTACCATCTGTCCAAATCTATTGCTCTGTTAGTTTACTGCCATGCATTCCTTTATTTATAAACAGGTCCAGGTAATTAGAAAACTTAGTCTGGAATCATCAGGATGAAGGCTTCGAGAAAATTATAAAGCAGACAGAAAATGTCCCTGAACCGTAAATACGACGTCGGGTGGGAATAAAGGGTTATGTGGGAAAACGTTTAGGAAAAGGTTATGTGTGGATAAAGTATACTGGACACACAGCTAATCAGCTGGTGAATCTGAGATATTCTTAACACATCACGAGCCAAAATTTCACCATTAGCTGACAGGCAGCGACGCACACTCTTCTCTATTAACGCATTTTTAGAATGAGTACTGTGAAGCATTCTGCCCTAAAGTGGACCTTTATTTGGGCTCTTGCCATTTCTACACATTGTTTTATGCTTTCTGTTGTCGGCTGCCTCGAGGTATTCCTGGCCAAAAAATGATGCACTAATAACGGTTAATGAAAAGCACAACAAGGAATAACCCTGATGATGGCCACTTACTAAGCTATTTCTGCAGCAGCTGTTCTGAAGCGCGGTGTCCTCGGAGTCGCGCCGATCACAGGTTCCGCCGGGGGCGGGGGGGGGGTCCCTCCTCCTCGCTTCCGGTCGGAGGGCTGGAAGCTCGGCTAGCGCTGCTGCAGCTGGGCCGAGCCCCTTTGTCCTGCACCGCGGGGGGCGCCCCAGAGGGGCGGAGCCTGCGTAACGGGGGCGGGGGCGGGGCCGGGAGAGTAGGCGCTGGGTCCGCCCCATCGGACCCGCCCCCTTAAAGACACAGTACCCAAATCTCGAGACCCGGGGTTTCCCCGGGCGGCGCCAGCCGGCGACTGCCGCGTTCCGATGGCGCTGCTTTGGCGAGGCTGGGAGGGGCTGCTGTTCCCCGCGCGCGCGTTATTCGTCTTCCGGGATCTAGCTCCGGGGCCTCCTTCCTCCCCGCTGCGCCCGGCGGCCAGTCCTGCTGCTCCGGGAGGGGACCACCCACAGCCCGGCACCGCCGAGTCTGGGAGTCTGGACAGAGGTCCGTTTCTCAAGGAAATTACATCCTCTGCAGCAGCTCCGGGGCTACACCGCCGGTTTTCCCTACTCCGTGCTCCAGTCTGAAAAACACAATTTTCCCCTCTATTCTCAGCCCTTTTAAATTTTTTATTTTGAGACTACTTCTCGCCAAACCGCTAAATTGCCCAGAACAGGCTCGAATCTGTGATCCTCCTGCCTCAGCCTCCCAGGGTGCCGGGGTTACAAGCGTGTGCCATCACACCCAGCTGTAATCGCCTTTTTGAGAGCGCTCACTGGGGAGCTGGTAAACCAACTTCAGCGGGAGGGAAGGGAAGTCTTGACGTACAGAGTTTGTTGTTTCAGTGGTGTAGCTACTCCTGCCATGGCCGATTTCAAACTGCTAATGTTTAACAGGAGCTGTGGGAAGTTCCAGGACGTAACGGCTCTGGACACAACTGGCCCATGTGACTCACTGCTCACCTGCTATTGGTCAGGGCAAGTAATTTGACTCAGTCTGCAGCCAATGGGTAGGAAGGAAGCGTCATTCTTGAAAGAGCAAGAAGTGTTTCCCGAGAAACTGTACCATACTACAACCCACACTGCCTGCTTTGGACCAAGCACTCCCCCCAGCACCCCACCCCCCGCTTTGGTGCTGGGAATGGAACCTAGGACGTTGTGAACACCAAGCAGCACATCCTGTGCCTCTGGGCTACACCCCTCGCCTGTCATTTCTTCAGTGCTATATTTGTAAAGTCCATGTAATGATTTCAGAAGGAAAAACTGGTTGGATGTCGTCAAGGGCATCATTTTACAATGTGAACGTTAACTCTCAGGTTACCACTTTTCTTCTGGTCCAAAAGACACTTATTACTGTGCATCCAATTAAAAGAAAAGTAAAGAAATCAGGTTGAAACTATCCGTAAGTCGGGCATGTTTTAATGTATGAACAGATTTTTAAAGTTTATTGTATCTGGCAATCTTTTTTAATGAGAGGCTTTATTTATTTTTGGTGCTAGGGATCAAACCCAGGGCCTCACATGTGCTAAGCAAGTGCTCTACCGCTAAGCTACCAGCTTTATTTTTGTTTCTTCGTTTGTTTTGTTCTTCCAGTCCTGGGGATTGAACTCAGGGACTTCGTGCTGAGCTACATCCCCAGTCCTCTTTTATTAGTGTTTTTTATTTTGAGACAGGGTCTCATTAAGTTGCTAAATTGCCTACGCTGGGCTGGAACTTGCTAACCTCCAGCTTCAGCCTCCCTTAAAATCTGTTTGACCATGTAATGAAATATATTCTCATGAGCTCACAGAAGAGTTTTCAGTATGTGTTGGTAATGGGCAAAGCAGAATTTTTTTTTTAATGGTGTCTTGCTGTGTTCCTCAGGTTGATCTTCCTGCCTCAGCCTCGGAAGTTGCTGAGATTACAGGAGTGTCCTTTACATTTGGCTCCCAAAGCAGTATCTGAGTAGGAGTCTAAGCTTTCGAAAGAGCATTCCTGCCCTCATGAAGCTCACACTCCAGTAAAATGGTAAGATAGAAAGAATGGGACAGATGGCAGGAGGAAGGTGTCAAGCACAACACCGAATCGAGAACAGCTACGTGTTTTCGGAAGTGGTAGTGTCCAATCAAGACCTAGGAAATGGTGGGAATGAACTCCTGGCTTTATACATTTATTATCCTAGGAACATGTGGTTTGTGTTTATTTTTTAAAGTCTGAGAAAAGAAGCCTGTCTTCTCTGTTTGATCCAATGCTTAAACTTTCTATAATCAGAAATCTCTTCCTTGTGCTTTCAAGAGGAATTATAAATAAAATGATGAAATGTGTGTCAAATATCTACTAACCCTTCTTCACTCCCATTCTTTGTTCAAGTTTTAGCATGAAAAACACCCTTCGGTTCTTATTTGATTGTGGCATTTCCCCTGACACTCATTTAACAGTAAATACAAAACATTTCATTTTCACAGATGACCTCACTGATAGCCTCTGCTCTAGAATTTGGCAAAGACTAAAGGCCTGCCTTCCACTGGTAAAGCATAATATTTGGTCTCCATATTCTTGCCAGAAATTCTACCCTTGAAATCTGCCACCTAATCCTTATTGATAACGCAGTCTAGGGAAAGTATGGAAACTGGCTCAGAGACATGAGGCTGTAGAGCTATGTGCTCATGATTACATGTTTTCAGTACATCTGAAATTTTTTTGTCTGTAGCTTTTCCTTTCCTTGTGTTGTTTGATCGGGTTTTGGTGCGAGGGTAATAAGTGGCTTCATAAAATGAATAGAGACACGTTTCTCCTATTTTTTAGTAAGGTCTAACCCTAACTGGTAAAGGTGTGAATGATAAAGAATGAATAAGAAATGGTGAAGAATGTCTTCCTTTAACAGTGGCTTTTCTTTGTGGGCCCTTTTTTGAGTACTAATTCAATTATATCTTCTTGTGTCAGTTTTGGGAGTTGGTAACTTTTGGAGGATGTGTCCCTTTCATTTGTCCTCTAGTTGATGCATAGTTGGTACACAGTTGTTCACAGTATTCCTTTAAATCCTGTTGTTGCTGTAAATAGGTAGTAATGTCCCTGCAGTCTGGGTCCTACATGTGCTCTCACTAAGCTGTTCCTTAGGGTCACCCAGTGGCCTTCAGAGGGGCCCCTTAGAGGAAAGCTGCATACAGTTCATCCACAACAGCCGTGTCCCTGGTGTTTTTCTGGTGTGGCAATGTCTGTATCCCCTGAACAACGGGGCCTTTTAATTCTGAGGTGGATGATGTAACAGAGTGTTTCCAAGGCTGAGCCATAGGAAGGCTGAGTCCAATCCAGAATCCCTTCTTTCTGTGCTTCCTAAGGGAATCTGTTATGGTTTATGTCTGTGTGTCCCCCCAATGCCTCATGCGGACATGGGGCAGGCTATTAGAGTTTGAATATGGGTGTGAGAGCTGCACCCGCCCGGGAGTGGATAGTTTGCATATGTAAGGGACAGGAAAAGAGTGCTTGGGGCATTCCTCCCCCATTCCGCCCTGGTGGGTGGTTGTTGCTTAGCTGTGGCTGCCGTCCTGAGCTGCAGCTCTCTGCCATGTGCCACTCTGCCTTATAATCTGCCAAGTACGGGCTGAAACTTCCACGAACTGTAAGCAAAATAAACCTTTCCTTCCTTAATTTTGGGCATCAGGTATTTTGTCCCAGCAGCGAGAAAAAAGTAACCAAGACAGGATCATAACTCAGTCCTTCAAACTGCATGGCTTAAAAAGATATTTGTTCTCCCGTAGTTTTAGAGGTTAGAAATCAAAGTCAAGGTATTGGTGGGGCCATGCTACCCAGTTTGAGAGAAGTATTTATGGAGGTTTTCCCAGGACATGAAATATAGAACTGTGTCCTTGAGCCACATTCTCTTGCTAGTAGATAGAAATGGTCCTTCTCCTATGGGAATGCTTAGAAAGGTATTAGAAATTAGTTTATAGTTCTCAGAACTACTAGGAAAAAATGGCTCAGAGATTTGCTCCAGAATTTCAGCTCCTTTTCAGAATGCATTAGTCTGCCCTCCCACATTTGGCTGTAGCTTATGCCTCTAGTCATCATAAAGTACTACTTGCCTAAGCCTGGGGGAAATGAGTAGGGGTCAGGGCAGTGTCCACCACTGGCTGCATCATCACATGCTTCCTGTCCTGTGACTCTTAAGATGCCTCCTCCCTGGGACCCTCACAGGCTACTTCATTTCCTGCATATTTGACTTCCTCTTAACATAAATGGAAGTGACAGGACAGTGACAATCAAACCTGTCTCCTGTGGGACCACTGAGAAATGTTCTTGTCTAAAAGAAGGGGATGCTTTATAATAAAACTGCAATATCTTAAAGGGAAATGATAGGTATCCTAGGCTGTTTTCCATTGCTATAATAATAGTCCCTGAGGTTGGCATATTGTGAAGAAAATACGTTTATTTAGCTCACAGTTAAGGACATTTAAGAGCATGGTTCTGGCATCTGCTCAGTCCTGGTGAAGGCCTCATGGCAGATGACATGGCAGTAATATGCACAGAGCAGGTGCCGGACTCACCCAGAACAGCATATCCTCCCACAAGCCCTGAATCAGTACCCTCCCAGTGTGATGCTGTGTCCCAGCCACCTTCCAGGAGTCCTGACCACCCTGGGACCAAACTTCTGGAAGAAACAAAGGGCATCTGGGGAAGGTTTGAGGGGACATCCTCAGACCATGTGCAAACCATAGCAGGAGAGGGAGTGAGGGCAGGAGGGGAGGAAGAAGGGGAGGAAGGAGGGAGGGGTAGATGTTCCTATTCATATTCACCTGTGTGCCAGTGTCTCTAGGAGAAAGTGGTGCTTGGATGGGCAGAAGAGCATGGGGCAGGCAGGAGTCAGGCGACACTGCACAGTGAGCCTGGACCCCTGTCCACTGGGAGTGCAGGTGGTGGTGTTTGGCATTCTTGCTGCTGAGCTAAGGGCCTAGCTGGCGTGGGGACATGCAGGCTTATCTCACTGTGACTCCAGAGCCCATCTGCAGCTGTGGTCAGTGTTGGTGTGGCTAGGGCCCTTGTGGGCAGACATTCCACACAAGTATCAGAAGTTTACAAATACCTTTTGCCAGAGGAGAAGACAAACTTGCAGGAAAGAGTTGCTTTGGCTATTTTCTGAGATAATTATGAAGAATAACAATTCCTCCTGCTCTGCTATTTTTTCAAAAATTTTGTGCCTACAATGGGAGAACAGTAAACCTTTATGTGTGGGGGGGTCTTGGAGGGACAAGCAGAAGTCTGGTTCAGAAAAACTGCAGAGTGCTGTTGCCTTTCGGTTGGAGTGGAAACTTCCAGCTGACCTGCTTGTACTTGTGATTTAGTTACTCAACTCTTTCTTTCTGGTCAACCAGGTCTCCTACCTGGTCTTTGAACCGCTGCTTAGATGACATCATTTTATAAGAGTCCTTCATCCAAATTTCTCTGGTCCTGCCAACCAGAGCCAGCCTCACCACACACTGTTTCCTGGAAGCTGACTCTGCCTTCACAGCTCCACTGGGTAATCTCAGTGGCTGTGGTCAGACCTTGTATTTTGGAGACTGCCATGAAATCTAGTAAAACGCTGCGCAAATGGGGCTTATCTAGGACTTGGGGGGATTGATGAATCAACATGAAAAGCATGGTGGGGCGGTAGCTCAGCACAGAAAGTGTGTTAGCATGCATAGCCCCCAAATTCAGCCCCCATCCAAAAAAGGATGTGCCACACCACTTATGTAAGTTGCCCGAATAGTCCAGAGTTACAGTAGCAGAAGCAGAATGGTGGCTTTTAGAGGCTGGCGAAGGAGGAAGGGGAAGCGTTTCATGGCTGTAGAGTTTTATTTTGGGAAGATGGAAAATTCTGGAGGTGGACTGTGGTGATGGTTGCAAGACAGTACGAATGGACTTCATGCCACCAACTGTCTGCTCTCTAAAAGACCAACATGAGTAGGCATGTTGGGCAGGTATTGGGCTCAGCTTCCCAGTTGCCAGCTCCATTTTTTGAAATGGAAACCTTTACATTAGGCTGTTAGTTCGGATTTGTTTTGTAGTTGTCTCGGTTACTTTTCTCTTGTTGCTGAAACAAAATACCTGACGCACAAAATTAAGGAAGGAAAGCTTTATTTAGCTCACAGTTTGTGGAAGTTTCAGTACATACTCAGCTGGCTCCAAGGCAGAGTGGCACATGGCAGGAGGCAACAGTTCATGGCAGTGGAAGACAGCAAAAGCAGCAAGAGCAAAAGGGAGGAGCAGCAGAGAGCAAGCCTCTTTCTCTCCCTTACATTGTATGCAAGCTGCCTGCCCCAGGGCAGGTGTAGCACTCACACCCATAATCCCAGCATTGGACCATGGATCAGTCATAAACCCTCAAAGCCTGCCCCATGACTGCATAAGGCTTTGGGGGGACATCCAGACACAAACCATAATAATAGTTGATGTGCCTTCATGAGAACAACTGGCCAGCAGTCCAAATCCATAGCAAGCAAAGTTCTAATTTCCCTCAGGGTAACAAAGAAAAGCTGTGATGATGGGATAGCAGGCAAGTTAATTAACACTTCAGAGCCTGAATTTTGTCTGGTTTTGTTTTTCATATGTAAGATGGAGATAATAATATTTCTAAGTTCCATAGTGTTGTCAGGATTGAACACAGTGAATTGCACAGCATGCCTGGGACAGAGAGCTGGAAAACATGGTTCATGGTTTATAAATGACCCCTGAGTGCTTTCATTCTATGACTTTGGTGTGGATTCAAGAATGGAAGTAGAGTACAGATCCCTTGCAGCAGTGCCTTGCTGGTGATCTACATGCAGCCAAACTTTGGCAAGCCACTAGGTTGAGGGCTGAGGGAACAACCCAGAGCATCAGGGCTGTTTCTTGAAAGTTGGCTCTTCCCACTCAGGCAGAAAGAAGCCACCAGCAGCTCCTGGGCTCACTTTTTACCAGCTGTGTCCCTTTCTCTAGTTCAAGTTAGAAAAGTATTAGAAAGGATGTGCAAAGCCGAGTATGGCTGGCTTTCAAACCTGGTTGCTCAGGATTCCAGTGCTCATGTGACTGTATGGCCAGTGTGCCAGGCACTTTCCTCAGTGAAGAGGGCTACTGAAAATGAGAAAAATGAGGTGTCCACCCACACAGAAGTGTGTGCTCCAAGCAGGCCAAAGAAACAGCGGCTGTGGGCCCCATCTCAAGGGTCTTGCTCTTCATCAACAACGACCTATGTGCCGTGATATCTGTCTTCAAGAAACAGATGTCCTATATTTCTTTTCAAAGATTTTGAGCATATTAATCACAAGGTCTTTCAAGTTAGCATGTAAATTATTTGACCTTGGCTTAATATCAGGGA